AGGAATATGAAAAGCTTCCTTTTATTGGCCCAAATAAAATAGAAAGAGCAAGGTGAGAATCCTGCTGATATTGTTTACCAAGTGCAAGGCTGAATGGTGGGACCCAATGACCCATTCCAGAGCACTGTATATCTTTCTATGTGATAAGCCATGTGCCTCAGCATCTAGATATCCCATCAATTTGTACAAATGAATCATTCTTTAAGTTCCTACCATGTGCTGAGAATTGTACTGGATGACTTACCTGCATTATCTAACTTAATCCACACATCACTGTGAAGTAGGTGTAATTAACAGCCTTGTTTTCCTGATGAAGAAACAAAGGCTTTCAGAAGTGAACTGGACAACCCCAGGCCATGCTTCTAATGAGTAAATGAGTTAGTATTGCAAGCCAGCTCCCCCAACTTTAAACTGCGTTCTCCTCACCAGCTTCATGATAGCGTTTCTGAGGTTTAACCTCAGCTATGATATCAAGGAATGATGACATAAATTTCTTGGTCTAGAAGAATCCTCAGAATAATTTTTTTGGGTGTTGTATCCCCCAAACTCCTAACTCCTGTATGATGATAATCACACCCCTCCACACCTCCCAAAACCCAAAACTTCTGAGATTAAGACAAGGGCTTGTGTGCTGCCTGCATCTGACAGAGTATCTTTGTATTCTGCAGAAATCTCTCCACTTTCTCCCATCCTCTCTTCCCCACTCCCCCCTCACCACTCCTTCACCAACAATGTATTTTCCTCTCAAAACATACTTGGTTACATGCAGTGCAACCCAAATTGCTGCTATTAGTTTAATTGAGACAGGGTGATTATAAATAAATTACATGCAGTGCTACCAAAATTGCTGCTATTAGTCTAAATTGAGGCAGGGTGATCAGTCATCACCAACTGTAGCTAATTCAGGACGCGTACCACGCAGATGACCACAGAGGCCCCGTGGCCACTTGGCAGCACACAGGGTGCAGGGCCAAATCCCTGAGATGATGGGCTTAAGGTTACCGATCTCTCTACTCTCTGGTGCCTGAGAGAGCAAAAGTCTCTGCAGTGTGGTTGGCAGGGGCCGCTGGCAGGCTGATAATAAACTCCTTAGAAACTTAGAGCTGGAAAGCACCATGATTAGAAACCTTCCCATGAGGCGAATCTGTGGAGCAGATTATATGTGTGTGTATTCATGTGTCTCAACGTGTGAATATTGCAAGTTCCCCAAGACGATTTGGGTTGGGATTTTTTTAGTTTTATTTATTTCTTCTGTGAGAGAGAGCCCCCAAGAGGGTATTTGTACTGTCAATCACTCCCAGCCCCAGCCCCAGCCAGGTAGAAATAAAGGCACTGGTGCACCCAGCGTGTACACGAGACCTCAGGATATGAACCTAGGACCTTCCCATGTGCGTCCAGCATCGCAGAACTCTCTATTACCACTGTGTCACCAGCAGTTCCCTTGAGGTTGATTTTCACTATTATTTTGCCTTTTTTCTAATTATAAAAGAAATTCATGCTCACAGTAGAAAAATTTCATGTGCATAAATAATACAGAACTTTAATGATTGACAAATACTAATTGTTTATTTTGAATCTGAAAAATGGAGATATAAACGAATAAGCATTCTTCTTAGTACAACAAATTCCTAAAAAGATGTATTTATTAGTACTGCTTTGAAATCAAGTCATAGTACCTGAATTCTTACCACACATCCCAAACTAACTTATTTTCACCTGTAAGACCCAAGACCCAAACTGTAAGACCCAAGAGTAGTTTAAATGATCACATTCATGGGACCAACAGTTGGCATAATAGCTATGTCGCTGGACTCCCATGTAGTTCATGGTTCAAGTTCTGGACCCAGTGGCTTAAACTCATGCCAGGGGCATTTGCGTGCATGCCCAAGATCCTGAGAGGAGAATGGAGGAGAGGGGATTGCGGCATGGCCATCCCCCCAGGGGATGGTTTCTCGCTTTCTGTCTCTCTGTCTCACTCTGCCTTTCTGGCGAGCACACACCCTATAGCAAAAACCTCTCCAAAAAAAAAAAAGAAAAAAAGAAAAATGATTACATTCATAAGATTTTTTTTATCTGCAGTTAATGAGTTAAACCATTCAGTGCTCGAGGAGAAACAATCGAGTTATACTTTGTAATAATACCATGTTGTCTTTTTATTTTAAACTTATGTTTTTACTTTTTCCATGAGTGTGAGAGACAGAGAAAAAGACAGACAGTACCCTGACATGGTATTGTTTTTATTTTTAAAAAAGCATTTAGTTAATTTTTATTTATTATTATTCTTTAAAAAAAATCTACTATAGGGCACATGTGCTCACCAGAGAAGGAAAGTGAGAAATCATCCTCCGAGGAGAGGGGATTGCGGCATGGCCATCCCCCCAGGGGATGGTTTCTCGCTTTCTGTCTCTCTGTCTCACTCTGCCTTTCTGGCGAGCACACACCCTATAGCAAAAACCTCTCCAAAAAAAAAAAAAGAAAAAAAGAAAAATGATTACATTCATAAGATTTTTTTTATCTGCAGTTAATGAGTTAAACCATTCAGTGCTCGAGGAGAAACAATCGAGTTATACTTTGTAATAATACCATGTTGTCTTTTTATTTTAAACTTATGTTTTTACTTTTTCCATGAGTGTGAGAGACAGAGAAAAAGACAGACAGTACCCTGACATGGTATTGTTTTTATTTTTAAAAAAGCATTTAGTTAATTTTTATTTATTATTATTCTTTAAAAAAAATCTACTATAGGGCACATGTGCTCACCAGAGAAGGAAAGAAAGAGAGAGAGAAAGCAAGCCACCAGGTCCAGGACTTGAACCATGTTCAGCCATATAGGAGTCCAGCACCTTAACCAAATTGCCACCTATTGGCTCCCACAACAGGGTCTTGATGCTGTGATCACCCTCATCCTCAGCCAGCTCCAGATTGTGTGCATAAGCATACTCTGTGTGTTCACAGAAGTTTCCTGACATGAACCCATGACCCTCCCATGTGCGTCAGCCTTGCAGAACATCATGTGTTACCACTGTGCTACTAAAAAATTAAAAAACCTGTAGTCATTTTACTTCACTTTTTAAGTGCGAAACATATAGATTTTTCTATTCCTTAAAATAAATCCCAGGAAACACACCAGATAATCATTTCCCTCCCTCCCTTCTCCACTCTCCTTTTCTTCTTCCTTTCAACAAGTGTCTATAGTTCTTTCTGTGTGTCAGACTCCGTACTACTACAGATGTTCTCAGGTGAAGTTACATTGTATACACTGACTTCTGATTCTTTGCAATTACTGGTAAGCCTTGATATAGAAAGCAAAACCTAAAAAATAATCAATCAAGTGATCAAGCTACCAAAACAAAATATAGTATCTGAAAATAAGGGAATATTTATCTTTTTAAAGGACTCATTAAAATATTGGTTTGCTGGAAAAGTCATGACATATTTTTCTTTTTTTTAATGCAAAAACGAATCATGAATTTTCTGATGACCCAATAGTATGCTTCATGATATAAGCTTTGCTTTTTGACTAATTAACACCTTGATTTGGAGGGATTATGGGGCAGAGAATTCGCCAGCTGAAGTGATAGTCGGTAAGATTTATTGGGAAATGTTCAGAGAGAGCAAAGCAGAGTTCTGTATTGATGACACCAGTCTATTATCTTACCCAAATCCATATTATAACCAACTTTTTTTGAGAAACACCCTTTTAATCAGCTGGATCACTTCCAATTCAGGAATGGGTCTCCTCCTTACCCCAAACTCTCAAAGATACACTTGGCTTCTGCTTAATCCATCTTTTCTATTGCAAATAACTAAATACCACAGACTGGATAACTTATACAGAATAGAAATTTATTCAGCTCATGGATTTAGAAGGTCTAGGGGTCAAGGAGCCACATTTGGTGAGGGCCTTCTTATTGGTGAAGACTCAGCAGAATCCCAAGGCATTACACAGCAACAGACCAAGAGTATGTGCCTGGTTTCTCTCCCTTTACGTGTAAAGCCACTAGTGTTCAATGACTGGGACCCACCCATTAGACTTTATCTAATCCTAATCACCTTCCAAAGATCCCACCTCTCAATACTATGGCTGGATTATGTTTCCACCTTCTTAATACTATCATGCAGCAACCAAATTTCAACACATAAATTGAGAGGGGTGGGGGACACATTCTAACAATGCAGCCTCTTTTCACTGTGTTGTGATTTGCTGTTTACAAATTGTTGTAAAAAGGGCTGCCTGCAAGTCAGCCTCCAGGGAGAAGCCATTATCATCTTTTCCATGTCCTTAGGACAGATGTCCTGGTTCATTGTCAGGTTGAAAGGTTACCAGTTACTAAGTGTAGTGAAAAGAATGCAGACTGTGTGATCCAACTCTTGGCCTCATCTTTGCTATGATTTCAGTCTTCAGAGCCACTTTTTATTCTAGAAGGAAGGGGATACTCATGCTCTTCTACTTTACATGTTTGTTGTGGAAGCTGTAAAGGAAATAAATTCCTAACATACACCAACTGGCACATAGTAGGCATGTCACAAGTGGTATTTTTAAAAACTGCAATAATAGTAAGAATTCATCAAGAAGTGTTCTTATTCATCAAGAGCTGCGTTTATCAAGAAGTTAGGAGGCAGTGCTAGACATATACACTGGCTAGGAATCAAGTAGGTAGTGTGTATCTTCATCATAGATATTTTCCCTACTACCTATGCCTAATTTAGCACATTTATAAATTATAAATGCTGAGGATGAGATTTCTTCAGGACAGAGTATATCCCTATACTGTTTGCATTGGAGTCTCACGCTAGGGAGGCTCCTACTAAATTGAAAGTGTCGCTCACAGTATCCAGTGGGAAGCTTATCCCAAGTTTAACTGAGACTATATTTTCTGGGTATAATCAGATGGAGACATGCAGTGTCATAACCTGAGAGACCCTATTTAAGACATTCATGAAAGTGCCAGGACTCTCCTTCCAAAACCTTGAAGAATCAAGTGTCCCTTTTCTCCTAGGGTTTTAAAGATCCTGTGTACCGAGCAAGACGGAAGCAGTTTGCTGACATCGCCTACAGTTACCGCCAGTAAGTCTGTCTCGATTGTGGGGATGAGAGGAAAGCACATCTCAGCCTGTATCTTCCTTACCCTAAGTTGGAAAATACCAACATGGAGAGTTGGGCCGTGTGTGTGTGTGTGTGTGTGTGTGTGTGTGTGTGTGTGTGTTTTAAACTCTTCAATAACGTATACTAAAAAATTACTGCTGAACAAAACAAATTACCCACAGTGCTGAGACCCAGCTCTCTTGCAAGCTTTGTCATCTAATTATGCAGTGGTGTCTGAAGTAATTATAAAAGGCCTCAGTCCTGGCGAAAAAAAAAAATTAAAAAATTAAACAGGGAAGAAGGAAAAAGAGAATCATTTACATTCAGGAAGGAGCTGGCTGCTCCTCTGAAATAATGAATCATTTGCAATTTCAGGCCAAGCTTCAGCATTCTACTTTTATCTGGTCTGACCCAGCTGTGAGGGGCAATTTTATGACAGGTCTGGATTTTTTTAATGTGTGGAGTTCTATGCTTTTCCATAATCCTATTTTAGCCAAAAGAAAATGCAAATATCAAAATTTGGGTTGTCAGAAAAGTCATGATGCATTTTTGCATAGAAAAAATATAGAAAAAAAACACGTCACAGTTTTTCTGATAACCCAATATGTTGTTTGGAAAGAGAACGATTTTGCTACTTTGAGTCCTTGAGAACTATAGAAATGCTGCTATGAGAAATTCAGTGTCTAGGAGATAGCGCCATCTGTAGGTTAAGGGAATAGAAAAAGACCCTCCCAGAAGAAACTTAAAAGGTTTCCAAGACAGGGAAGTGATAAGACTTGATAGAATCTCAGAGAGATACAAGAGTTGATGGGACTTGGTATACTGAAATATGCAACGTTACTTTCAAAAATGAGAAAATTTCCTTCTCTGAATGACTCATGGTAGTAGAAGGAACCACAACTCTGCTGCCCTTGGTCAGATCTAAGTCCATCTGGGCTTTGCTCGTGCTGAGCAGGAATCACAGAGGTGGTGACCTCCCCTGTCCTAGCATGATCAAGTGGACACCATCAACACAGGTATAAGCAAGAATTCTTCTTCAAGTAGTCAGAAATAGCATTGTGTTTCTTATCTCTTTGCCATGTGTCTTGGGCTTTGCTAAGTTCTTAGTATACATTATTTCTTTTAGTCTTAATAACACCTCATTTTTCAGGTGGAAAAACTAAAGCTTGTTAAATAATTTGTCCAAGTCATGTAACTAGGAGGTGACATAATTTAGTTTTGAACCCTAGGTTTGTCTAACTCCAAAATTATCTTCCACTGCTCTTCTGAGTGTCCAGGAACTCTCAGAGAATAGAAACCACACTTCTCATAATCAAGGAGGTATGTTGGTATTTGAGGGGAGAAATAGATCCACCTCAATCTCTTTTCTATAAAAATGTCAAACTTCTTAACAAAGAGGGAAATTGATGGAATGCCTCAGAGTCCTGGCTGCCAATCAAGTAAGTTAAATTGGTTATTGGAAACCATCCATAAATGGTTGGAAACTTAGGGATCTTCCAGTCCATTTTCTACCTTTAACAGACGATGCTCAGATAGTTAACTGAGGTGCCAAAGATCACGTGCCTAGTTATATGTGGAACTTGTCCTCAAATTTTAGAACCTACTTTGTCTCATCTATTTTAAGCTTTTGATGTGCTTACTACTCCTTCTTTGTTTGAAATAGTCTCTTGCATCTGGTATCATTGATCCTAATTGTTTGCAGATTCTTCGCTTGTGAATTCACCTATGCACCTAAATGTATGTGTGACCCTTCACCCCCAAATCAATACTTGCTGCTTGCTTTCACCGTCATTCTAAGACACGCATAGAGCAGGGGGAAAATATGAGTCTGTTGAGGTATATGGTCCTAGCTGAGGTAAAAAAGGCAATACTCTGCCTTCCTGTTTCCAGTGTCATATGGTAAACATGTGCCCTTTATGTAGTCAATTTAGCATCATGGTTTCCCACCCCCACCCCAACACACACACACACACACACACACACACACACACCTTTTTGTGCTTTTGTTGGTTGTTTTGCTTTCAAGAATTTGTCCAAGGTCTCACTCAGCTAGCAAAAATTAGAATTCAGACCCTCCTGTCTTTTCTCAGGGAAGCAGGCCCTCATGCCATGAAGGTTGGTTGGAGCTGCTGCAGGAAGTACATAAGGGACATAGGACTATTGCTGCTCCAGACTTCAGGGACTGCTCCTGGCATGCCAAAGCTGCAGGACAGCTAAGTGAGAACCTCAGACAGGCATATCTAGGCTTAAAGGAAAATTCCAGAAGGAAGCAAAGGAGAGATTACCAGCCAGGCCTTTTCCACATCCTACGTAAAATTGACACCTCACCCTGACACTCTATAGCTTTGCTGTTTTGTTTCTTTTCCCTCTCCATAGCATTTATCACCATCTAACAAAATTCCATTGACCTTCTGTCTTCTCCTACTGAAAATGTACTACACGAGGCCAGAGATTTTTTAATGATTTGTACACTACTGTACAGAGCTTCATGTATGCTCAGGATGTGTTTGCTGAATAAATGAATGCACACTAGAGACCATATGAGAGTGAAGATTCAAGTGGTGAATCAGAGGCAGAGCCAGGAGTCGCTTCTAGAATGATCTAGAAGGCAGCTATGAGAGGTTTTGATTTTATTTCCGGAACTGGGGAGTTGGACTTCAAAGTGTTATCTAGAAATAGAGTAAATGGATTATAGAAATTTGTGTCTTTCAGCTGCAGGTCAATTTAAACAAAAAGGGTGATTTTCTTTGCTCTGATAAATAAGGAGCATACCTAGCACAGGCAGGTCCAGGATTCAGTGTCTCCTCTCTCTCTCTGGCCCATGACTTCTGTGTTGACCTAGCTCTCAGGTCTGGGCCTCATCTCTCTTGGAGTTGGATTCTAGCATTTCTAGGTTGACACTCCAACTCATCTAGAGGTTCTGGCTCTTTCCAACAAAGTCAATCACAGTTCTGTAATTGAGTTTCCCCAGCTCTCCTTAGGACAAGGGACCATCTCACAACTGTCACTGTGGCCAGGGAATGAGACATTCACTCTAATCAGCCAAGCCTGACCATGTGCCCACCTCTCACTGTAGGAGTAAAGTCTTATCTCACCCAAACCTCACAGATGGAGAGAGGAGAAGGGTGCTCTACTGGAAGAAGGGATCAGACGCTGGGTTCCTGGAACAGCAAATGCCAACCATCCTGGTGCCCATGACGCTACTGTCTTTTCAAAGCTGTTGCAGAAACAGCAGATGCTTTTCTTTTGAAACAAGAATCAGTTGTAATGATAATGATCATTTACCCAATGGTTGTTACCTATCAGTACCAATGTAAGGCACTTTGTACTGAGTATTTCACTTAATTTTGTCCATACCTTGCAAATAATTACATATTATTAGCCCATGTAATGGCTCCTCAGAGAGGGTTATTAAGTTGTCTTAATGAGGTCATACAGATAGGACACGGATTGAACTAAGTGTTGAATCAGCCTTGTTCCTTTTCAAATCCTGTTCTCATCATCAGCACTGAGCCCTAAAAGAATGGTGCATTCTTAGGCAGGGGTTTACTAATGTTCTTTTCAAAATCGTTGCTGGCCACCACAAGACCCTCTGAGGTTCTCTGACAGTTAATACTTAGGCAAAAATATATCTTTCTCTCTCATTTTTAAAATTCCTGTGTCCCCCCCCCCCACCAGAAACTAAGTAAGTGGTTCTGTAGAAAACAACAGTGACTTTTCTTCATTGTATTTGAATGAGCTTCAAATTTGAAAGAACAGGAGGGACCTAGTTTAAAGTGTGATGGTGAACCATAATCTTGAGGTAAATAGACTTCTTTCGTCCTGGACTCTCTGTCCCCTCTTAGGGAATCAGGCCTGCAGTCCAAGGAACAGTCACTTTGAAGTCAGGCTTTGTTCGGTTTTCACTTGTTTTTGTTCACATCTTCTTAGGTGGTTTTTACAAGGACATTTCAAACTTCTGATCGTAAGTAATAGTTTGCATCAGAGTCACCTGTGCAGTTCATTGAACTCCAGATGCACAGGCCTTTTTCTCCCGAGTAGACGCACAAACATGTTCCCAACACACACAGAATAGATTCAGATGCACACTTAGACCGTCTTACGTTTTCATTTAGTTAGTTATCCCCCTTTCAATATTTATTTATATGTTTATTCATCTTTTTACCTCTGATCTAGAATGTATTTGTTTTTGACAAATAAAAATGGTATATATATTTATACTATTCAAGGTGATATCTTCATACACATACACATTGTGAACTTTTAGCCTTTCTTTAAACACTTTTACAAAGTCCCGAGAGCAGAAATATCAAGTCTAGAAAGTGTACACCCACGAAACAAGAGGTCCTCAAACTCATGGCCCACATATTAAATCCATGTTAGCCCACAGATTCAATTGCTTTAATGGACATATACAAAACAGCATGCTACTCTCACTGAACTTAGCTGCTCCTGTTTAGAAAGAGGGTGCATTCTTGTGCTTTTGCCTTAAACCTTACGTTGTACATTTTTCTGTCACCTGCCTGGCTCCTCAGAGCAAGTGAATTTCCATGCTGGATAAATAGTTGGAGCATTAGAAGAATAGAAAAGCCAAGTGATTTCCCGAAGTGAGAGCAAACCTCAGGCAGCTGGTTGGGAGAACTTCTATCATTGCTTAACTAAATCATTCTTGGAAACAGTGAGTGAATGTAGACTAAATAAAACTGAAAAAAAAAACAAAACAAAACTGGGTCTTGGTACCAGCAGATGGCATAATGGTTACATCGCTGGACTCCCACATAGTTGACTGTGGTTAGAGTATCGAACCTGGCAGCTTAAAGTTTACACCAGGAGCATGTGTGTGCATGTCCAAAATGCCGAGAGGAGAATGGAGGAGAAGGGATTGTGGCATGGGCATCTCTTCTGGAGGGTGATTTCTCATTTTTCTCTCTGTAGTGAATGCATATACCCTTTAGTGAAACTCTCTCTCTCTCAAAAAAGGTGTCTTAACAAGTGTGAAACAAAGAAAAGCCAAAGCAATAAAGTTTTCTGTGTGAAGTAGAATTTTTCCTTGATATAACGCAAACTCTGCTATAGTCGTTGGGGGCAGTTCACACATTCTGGGCCCTGACTTACTCTGCCAACATTTTCTGCATTGGGGTAATCTGCTCTCCCTTGCCATGTGGGGACAGAAATTTCATATCTATGTTCTAGTGGACAGCCCATTCCTCGAGTGGAATACACAGAGGAAGAAAAGAAAACATGGGGGACAGTGTTCAGGACCCTGAAGTCCCTGTATAAAACACACGCTTGCTACGAGCACAATCACATTTTCCCACTTCTGGAAAAGTACTGCGGCTTCCGTGAAGATAATATTCCCCAGCTGGAAGATGTTTCTCAATTCCTACAAAGTAAGTTCACATCAGGGTCAAAGGCCCAGCAGAGGCAGGGGAGGCTGGGGCAGAGGAAGGGGTAAGGAAGAAGCACATGCATCAAGTATGAGTGTGTGTGTTTGTGGCAATGCATGCAGGTTGATTCTCCCAGGAAGAACTGAATTTCACAGTGCTCCACCTTCCCTCTAGCCTCCATCATTAGTCCATTTTCATCCAAGCCAAGCAAAGACACCAGGCATGTCTTTTTCTGTATACATGTTCCTGAAAAGAATTTCTTTTCATATTAGAAGCCCAGGGTGTCCAGTTACATTTCTCCCTGCATCTTCTGCTGTGTTCTGAGATTGCCTCAGTCTGTGTATATGTAAGAAATGTGCTATTTGGGGCCATCAAGTGGCATGGTGGTTAAGGTTCTGGGTTTCCACATTGCTGACAGCAGTTCGAGTCTTCAATCTGGCAGCTTGAAAATCACTCTGGGTACATGTGTGTGCATGCCCCAAATGGTGAATGAAGGAGATGGGACTGCAGTGTAGCCATCACCCAAGGGGTGATTTCTCACTTTCCCTCTGTCTGTTTGTCTCTGGCAAGTGCACACACCCCATGGGAAAAAAATAAAATAAAATAAAAGTGCTATTTTGGGGGCAGTGCCGGGAACCCTAAACACTGAGTCTATGCATCCTGCCTTTCATCCTCTCTAGCTGGGGAACCTGCCTCAGTTTTGTCACCTATTGAATGGAGATTATGTCAGTCCTGTAGGTTTTCCATAGGAGGATTGTGGGAATGAAATAAGATGTTACACAAGAAAGCCCCCAGCATAGTGCTGCATGTACAGTAGGTGCCCAGTGGAAGTGGATGAAATTGAAATCTGAATAACTCAGTGGGTAAATACATTGTCTAGGTGATGAGCCTCTGTGGAGCAATTACAGGGGAGATAGCTGTTTTCCTTTCTGCCAGAGGTATGTTAATTTCAGCAACAATAAAATGAAACAGCCAACTAACATATATTGAACACCTACTATGTGCCAGGGAGAATGAAGGAAAGTAGGGAGACAGACTACAGGTTTATAGAAATGAAGACTTTCTTGTATCAGAACTGGGCAGAGGAGCCAAGGTAACTAATTACACGCCAGGAAGGAAAGTTGTAGCCTGAATAGATTGGGTGTGGGCTAGATGACCTTTTGGGTCCATTCCATTCAGATAATCTTTACTTCTCACATAAAGAGAGGAGTGAGTGTCCAAGCAGAGTGAGTTCAAGCTCACTCTGAAGTGAGTTTGAAAATTAAGAAAACATGAGGGGAGAGGCAAGAGGATCAGACACTAATTAATTACTCTTGGCACTATGACTATAATAAGAATGACGATAACAATAATACTAGCTGCTTGGGAAATAATACAGTAGTCATTAGAAGAACAGACTTTGAAATAAGACTGCTTGAGACTTGTGACTTGGACAAGAGCTTTAACTTCTCCATGCTTTTTCAGCTTCCTCACCTATTTAGGGTCATTGTGAGGATTAGCTAGTACTTGCAAAGTGCTTAGTACAGTGTCTGACGTGTGATAGGTACATACAGTGCTAGTTATTATTATCGCAATCACTGCCATTCTTCTTTTTTCAATTTAGAACAAGTTGAGAGAATGTTAGAGGAACAGGGAAATGGTGATCCGAGTGTCAGCTTTAAAAACAGCTGTTTGGAGAACATGGTACAGATGTGCAGCCTAAATGACTAATATTTTACCCCTCGCCTAGGTAAACTTACCTGCCAATTCTTGGTGCCTAATCCACTGTTTGTTCAAGAACAAACCTGATGTGCTTTCTGTGTGCATTCAAGTGAGAAAGAGCAGTACAGAAAGAGTCAAACCAATTATATCTATTTCTTATTCCCAAGCACTCCAACCAGAGAAGTCACTTGCTACAGAATGAACTATATAAGCCACAGTACAGAAGCTGGGAGAGATCATTTCATGCTCTTTTCTTTAGGGAAATGGAGTGAGCCCCTACCCCTACTTCGGAAACAGCAGAGGTAGGGAATAAGTATTCCACTGTAACCAACAGAAATGCAAGCTAAATTTATTGGGCACCAATGTACTAGGCTCTAAGTATCAATATTTTAGTCATTGGCTGTTTTGACTCTTGGACTGTCCCTAAGAAGTACCTATCTACGTTCTGCAGATTAAGAAAATAAGGCTCAGAAATGTGCATTTATTTGTCCCAAATCACCCAACTAGAAAGTAGTGAGCCAGAGATTTGAAGCCAAGCCTATTTGGCATCAAAGTCTATGGGCAACTGCATGTACTGCTTCTCTGCCTGAAGGTCTTCAGGACCTGCTGGTTCTGCTGTGATGGGCTTTGAGTTATTTATTTATTTATTTTTATCATCTTTGCTTCCCAGCTTGTACTGGTTTCCGCCTCCGGCCTGTGGCTGGCCTGCTTTCTTCTCGGGATTTCTTGGGAGGCTTGGCCTTCCGAGTCTTTCATTGCACACAGTACATCAGGCATGGATCCAAGCCCATGTACACGCCCGAACCGTGAGTATTGTCCTCCAGCTACCAGTTGCCAGGGCAGCGAGCGCCATCTCTTGCAGGCAATGGAGTTTGGGTTCATTGCCAGATGGTCCACAGGATTTATTTCTTGGATCATGGGATGGTGGTTCCCCAGGAATGGATCTACTCTGAGGATTTCTTTCCATCCAAAAACACCAAATGGATTGGAGATTGAGGCATCCTGTGAACCAAGGATTCAGACCTCCCAGGCAGTGGGAGCAAGAGGTCCCACTCAGATCTACAGGTTCCAAAGTCAGAGCTATGAAGTTCCAAATGGGAGCAAGAACAAGTGGCCCCTATGCTATTTCAACACCCCTTAAATACACATCTAGATGATGCTAATCTTTCTTTGTTTAGATTGCTTGGCAATAGGTAGAGAATCACTGGCCACTACACTTCTTACTTTGCAGTTTAGCCATCTCCTTAGTCACGTAGAACTTACACACAAAATTCAGTGAAGATACCCAGAATTACTTCTCCCTGCCAGCAAAGTTTATTGTGGCAAATCAGAAAACCTATTCCTAGTGGGTGTGGCATAGAGAGTGTAAATAAATGCAGCTTTCCTTCCCCCAACTGCTGCCTCTCTGTAGACTCAGAGAAGAGCAGTAGAGTTTTTTAAAGTCCTCATTGAAAATAACCGAGCATATTGTATCTTTCCAGGGAGGCACTATAAGGAGAAGACTTGGGATGAGACAGGCACCTGACTTACAGCTCACAAAAGTGTATAAGAGGACGCCCATGGGAATACTGGCTTTTCTGTTCTGCATCACACTGAACAGACTCCTAAGACCCTTGGCTATTCCTTAATCCTCTCCCCCCACACACATCTTCTTTCTTCTTTTTAAAATTTTTTTAAAATTTAAATTTATTTACATTTATTTACGGTACATCATTACAGCATACAAAATGAGATTTCCCATCCAGAATACACTATATATTGGCTCAATGAAGCACACCAACATACATGTTATCGTCAACAAATAATTTTCCATTTCTTGTTTCCTATATATTTTGCTTTTTTCCCCATCCTTGATTCCCTCTCTTACCTCTGCCATCTCTCACCCTCCTCCCACACTGTCTCTGGTATCTATGGTTGCTTTCTATGCCTCCCCCTCCCATTTTATTGATTCACTAATGATCTTAATTAATCTAAATATTTTGAATAGCAAGCACAGATGATATATACATGTCCATGAACACAAGTCTGACTTTAGGCATAAGCCTCAGTGAGTAGAATGAATATAGCACCTAGCTGGGGCTATATATCTTACTGCAGTTATCAAAAAGGTTTTTTTAATTTCAAAAAGAAAGTTTTAGGTTTATTTATTTATTTATTTAATCTCTTGTACTTTGCTTCATCTGACTCCAAGCTCTGCATATCACTTATTCTTGAGAGTGAGGTCATAAGCCCAGATGAGTTTCCATTCTTCCTGCCTGTTCCTCATGTGGAAAAATTGAGTCTGGGCTAACTTAATCCTTCTTGCCTCCAATCTTCATGCTTTCTCTTTCAGGGACATCTGCCATGAGCTTCTGGGACATGTCCCTTTGTTTTCAGATCGCAGCTTTGCCCAGTTTTCCCAGGTAAGAAACAGATCTCTTTAGCCTTCTAGACACAGGGCTGGGACCTGGATTGCTCAAGTGAGTTGAGCCACAGCGAAGCTCTCACAATCTGCAGCAGTGACCGAGGCAGGTGTGTAGTTCTGTGGAGTTAGCTAAATAACTATTCCAGAGACTACTGCATGGGCTTGGTGAACCATTCATCCTCTGAGTCCATATGTGTGATATTGACTTTTCTAATATCCCTTGTCCTACCAGGTGTACTTTGAGAGATTTTTCATTCATAAAAGTCTCCTTGATGCCCATGCAGAAATCACCTTACTTCCTAGTTCTCTTAGTACCTCTTACCTCTCCCCCATTTTAGAGTCTATCTTGTCATATGTGTATGTTTAAAATAAGTAAAAGGATATTTGCCCAAAATCCAATGTCAATAGCCTGACTTATATTTGACCAAAAGATAAAAATAAAAACAAGCCAAATATCTGGTTGCCTTTATCAAAACAGCAACCTACACTTTGATTCCTCTTTCACAGTAATGAGAAAGCTAAAAAAATGCTTTTAGATGAGAGAAGAGATTCCAGTAATTCACTCCAGGCACTAAGAGAGGCAGCCATGGTTTCCATAGTTGGGTATCTGGGATCATGGGAGAGTGAATGATAAATCCAATGCATGCATGCACCCAACCCTGCCACCAGCACTATGACCTGGGACAAGATGGAACAAGTGAAGATGGAGAAAGGGCAGGGAAGTGAAGCTCACCTAAGAATTTGTGTGAATTTGGTTCACTTTAAATATGTAAGCATATCTAACCATAACTTGAAGCAACCCTTGGACTTAGCCCAGGGAGGGACACAGAGGCACAGACTATGTAGCCTCCTGCTTTAAAGCAGCCCAATCATTACATCTCCTCTCCTGCTCATTGGAGATCTCACCCAATCTCATGATTTATTATCTTTACTCTGATGATGAACAAACTTACATCTTTTTTTTTTTTTTGAGAGATTTTTGCTACAGGGCACGTGCGTTCGCCAGACATACAGAGAGAGACAGAGAGACAGAAAGCGAGAAATCACCCCCCAGGGGCAATGGCCACGCCGCAATCCCTTCTCCTCCATTCTCCTCTCAGGACCTTGGGCATGCACGCACACGCGCCCAGTGTGAGTTTTAAGCCACCGGGTCCAGGACGCGAACCATGGTCGACTACATGGGAGTCCAGCGACATAGTCATTACGCTAACTTCTGGTCCCCCAAAATTACATCTTAAGTACAGACTTTAATTCCAAATTTTGGAGTTGCGTATCACCAGCCTACTCAACATCTCCACTTGAATGTCTGTTGGACATCTCTGTCATCCTGTCCAAAACTGAATCCAGGATCTTCTCATTCAAACCTTCTCCACCAGCAGCCTTCTCTATACCAGTTCATGGCAACTCTACCCTTCCAGTTTCTCGAACCAAAAGTACTTGAGGATATCGAGGGTAAAGACTGGAGATGGGCATCCTAAGCTGTGCCAGTGACTCAGTTTCTCCACAATTTCAGGAAATTGGCCTTGCCTCTCTGGGTGCACCCGATGAGTACATTGAGAAACTCGCCACAGTAAGTCCCTTCTCTCCCTGGGTGGATGGTGGGAGTGCTGTAGTCTCTGGCTTATAGCCATAGATCTTCAAAGGCTTGCTCCTTCTCAGGAAACCAGAACAGTTGGGAAAATGTCAAAATATAGTATGTTATATCTGCACAAGTGAAACGTTGCGTTTTTATTTCTCCTTAATGGTTGAAATGATCTGCATGTAGATGTTTGTACGTAGTTTAAAGCAGAGTGCCTTAAAAACACCAATGGGCTGCAATACAGATTGAGAATTCCTTATCTAAAATGCATGGAGTCAAATGTGTTCCAGATATTGTTCTTCAAATTTTGGAATATTTGCATTTATTTGTGTTGGGTTGTTGGAAAAGTCATGATGTATTTTTTCTATATTTTTCTTCGTAAAATTGTGTCATTACTTTTCTGACAATCCAATAAATAAATAGATAGATAGATAGATTGTAGATGGGACCCAAGTCTAAATATAAAGTTTGTTTGTTTTATATACATTTTATTCACATAGATGAGAGATAAGTTTATATCATTTTTTAAGAGGGCATGTACACTCCCCAGAGAGAAAGAGAGAGAGAGAGAGAGGCAGAGAGAGGGAGGAAGAGGAGAAGGCATCCCTCCATGGTGAATGGTTGCATCACAGTTCTTTTTCTTGCATGTCTCTCTCCTTTTGGGATTTCGGGTGCACACACACACACACACACACACACACACACACACACACAAAACACACACACACACACACACACACACACGTGTGCCTAGTATGTTTCTCAAATTGCGTTTTTATTTCTCCTTAATGGTTGAAATGATCTGCATGTAGATGTTTGTACGTAGTTTAAAGCAGAGTGCCTTAAAAACACCAATGGGCTGCAATACAGATTGAGAATTCCTTATCTAAAATGCATGGAGTCAAATGTGTTCCAGATATTGTTCTTCAAATTTTGGAATATTTGCATTTATTTGTGTTGGGTTGTTGGAAAAGTCATGATGTATTTTTTCTATATTTTTCTTCGTAAAATTGTGTCATTACTTTTCTGACAATCCAATAAATAAATAGATAGATAGATAGATTGTAGATGGGACCCAAGTCTAAATATAAAGTTTGTTTGTTTTATATACATTTTATTCACATAGATGAGAGATAAGTTTATATCATTTTTTAAGAGGGCATGTACACTCCCCAGAGAGAAAGAGAGAGAGAGAGAGAGGCAGAGAGAGGGAGGAAGAGGAGAAGGCATCCCTCCATGGTGAATGGTTGCATCACAGTTCTTTTTCTTGCATGTCTCTCTCCTTTTGGGATTTCGGGTGCACACACACACACACACACACACACACACACAAAACACACACACACACACACACACACGTGTGCCTAGTATGTTTCTCAAATTGTGAGGTCCAGGACTTAAACTACATAGTCAGCCATAGTGGTTCCAGCTGCCTCAATCACCAGGCCATGGAGCTGGTTGATGTAGTTTTTTGTATTGCAGCATTTTAACTGTGACCGGTCACATGAGGTCAAATATGGAATTTTTCTCTAGTGGCATCATGTTAGCACTCAAAAAGTTTTGAATTTTAGAGCATTTCAGATTTGTAGTTTTTGAATCAGGGATGATCAACCTGCAATAATCCTTGAAAATTCTTGGACAGAAAGTATGTGTATCAAGTAGTCTAGATTCACATATTCCCTTGAAGGGGGAATATTTACATCTCTATCTTTGCTCTGGGGTCAGCATTAGTATCTTTCCTTTCTCAGACACAAGGTAGAACTTTTCCTCTCACAAGGGAATCTGATGATACCCATTCCCTGAGGTTAGGGAAACAGTAACTCTGCATACTTGGTGACTTCCCCTTCTTTATCCTTCTTTCGAATTCCAGAACATCCCTCCCCAGTCACTAAGCCACATTTCTTATAATGTGCCTGACATGGAGGTTGAAAAATGAAAGTTTATAATGGAATTGGCCACAAATGTGATGTATCCATGTAAAAATTTACAAATTCAATTAATTAGAAAGGCTCAAAATTTCCAGAAGCCTTTTTCATACTGATGGGTTGGTCTGAGACCCTGGACAAATATATTAGGTGATTGGAAAAGTTATGACACATTTTTCTATAAAAAAAACATGTCATAACTTTTTCGATGGCCCAATAGCATTTACTTTCCCATCTCTAAGAATGGACATAATAGTTGATATCCTGCCCTTCAAAAAATACATTGTGAGGGTCTAAAGAATTAAATTAGTGTGAACATGAGTTTTAAAGTTCTGGATGCTGCAGACATGCCAGAAGCAGCTTTCAAAGAAGTTGCAGAGCTGGGTAAACTTTCTCTCTTGTTCAGAGAAGACAAACTTGAAACTTGGAGTATCATGTTGCCAGTCATAACAATCACAAAAGGACCTATCACCAACTTGACTTCTCAAAAAAAATCCATATGATTGAATAATCCTGCTTTCTTGCTCTGCCTTAATTTTCTGTGTAACTGTATGCATATTGCCTTAACTACCTGGGCTGACGATACATCATCTATGTGTGAGAAAGACAGACCAACTGAACTCTGACAGCCTTCCCAAGTTTAACATTCTCTAATTCAATAAATAAAGTTAACTGCTAACTCACCCCTAATTCTCTGGGACCCTCTGCCTCCACATCTAACTGAGCCCTGAGTTCCTTTTGGCTCCAAAATCCTAGGATTCTTCCCCAGGCCAGGCATTTAGGACATGTTGGACTCAGAGCTGTTGGAACAAGAGAACTTGGTTATTTGCAGAGATGAGTGTAGTGACTGACTTCCGAAACACTCTAAGTTTTAGCATGGATGATGGAACACTCACCTCATTGATTCTGTCACTGCCCAGTTCTCTACTTCTCATTGCTGTATGTGATGGAATTATCTGATAGGCCTTCCCAATTTAAGAGCAGATTAGTAACATCTCACTCTAGTTGATGCCACAAAGAAAAAAGCAAAAGAGATGGATGAGTTTTTGTCCTAAAGAGAGGAACTCTTTAGGGATATCGTTCTGGGATATTCCCTGATGTTTTCATCGTACCTCAAATTCAGTCAGTGATTAGGTAGGTGAGATAAGGGATACAGAGAAATGGTCCTAGGTCATCCTGATGCAGAGAACAGACCTGTATGGATTACTATCTAGGTGGTCCTGTTCTTGGCCCTAGGCCATCTGCTGTCTTTTTATTCCCCCTTGGGATATGTATTAGTCATTGTTCTCCAGAGAGAAAAAAACAATAAGATCCAAATGTGTATCTATCTAGAGAGGAGAGAGGATTTATTAGGGGATTTGGCTTATGTGATTATGGAGGCTGAAAAGTGCCATGATATGCTGTCTGCAAGCTGGAGAATCAGGGACATCAATGGTGTGGTTCATTCACAGACTGAAGTTATCAGAACCAGGGGAGCCCACAGTGTAATTCTCAGTCTGAGGTCAAAGGTCTAAGAATCTGGGCGGTGCTGTGAGAGTGTGGGAGAGTGGAGAGCTCTTGTGCAAGTCCCAGGGATCAAAGACCAGAGATCCTGGAATTCTGATGTTTCAGGACAGGAAAAGAAGGGCATCTTAGCCGAGAGAAAGAGCATGCGTGCATTTGACTTTCCTTTGTTCCATCCGGGTCCCCAGCCAACTTGATGGTGCTTGCTCAAGTTGAGGGTAGACCTTCTCCACTATATCTACTGACTCTCACACAAACCTCCTCCAGAAATGCCTGTATGCACAGTAAATATTGTTTACCAGCTATCTAGGTATTGCTTAATCCAGGCAAGTTGTCATAAAGTTAACTATCCCAGGATGTATTCTCAGCTTGACTTTCCATTCCAGATTTACTGGTTTACCGTGGAGTTTGGGCTCTGCAAACAAGGAGACTCCATAAAGGCATATGGTGCTGGGCTCTTGTCATCCTTTGGTGAATTACAGGTATGACCTTAATGGGAGCCAAGGATGTATTTGAAAGTGGTGGGTACAGGAGACCATTCTTCTTCTCTTGATATTATTAAAACGTGATTTACATCCATTTTGAGATGTAACCTGGGAGCTCATCCTCCAGTGATTGGTATCTTAGCAGCTGTGATTTGAACATGGCTGTGTGCGTTAGAGGTAGAAATTAAACTGCCAGTGCATAGTCCTTTAGTGAGAAGGGGCCACCTGGTTCTAAGGTTTAACCATGCATACAACTGATAAAAATACATGCCAGGATATGTAATTGGTTTTCACATCATCTATTGATCACTTTAATTGAAAAGGTTGGAATAATTATTCCTTCCTATCTTGGCTGTAGGTTTTAGATGGGCTATGAAGGGGAGGGGGAAACTAGTATAAACAAACTAGTATATTGTTTATTGCATTTGGGCTGGATATAGGCAGAATCAGGATGAGATGAGAGAAGGGTCTGCAGCAGGGACCACTGATCCTGATTAAACTGTGTAAACTTTCTGTATGGGACTTGCAGTATTGCTTATCGGATAAGCCAAAGCTCCTCCCACTGGAGCTGGAGAAGACAGCTGTCCAGGAATACACCATCACAGAGTTCCAGCCCTTGTATTATGTGGCAGAAAGCTTTAATGATGCCAAGGAGAAAGTGAGGTGAGGTGCAACCTTGGTGGGTGGGTGGGGCATTTTTTGTCTGTGGGCCTCTGGCACAGACCCACAAATCTGTAGGTGATTGGCCAGGAGAATGGAAACCAATGCTCACAGCCACTTTGTGCAGCAAATGGAGTGAATCTGTCTACCTTCCCAAACTGTCTGTTGGGTAACTAGACAGGAGACCCCTGCAGACAACCCTACCACCTGGCCCCTGTCCAGTGTAGCCACTGAGTACAGTCACTGAGCCCTCCAGTGTACAGAGTGGCCACAATAGTTGCCCCCCAGCTCAAATTAGTCAGAATTCTTTTAACCTGGAGAAGTATCATCTTCACTTCATTCTCCAAGACACCTCCATAACTTGTTTCCTCACCTCTCTTATAAGGTCAATGGAAAAGTCATGACCTGTTTTTCTGTGCAAAAATGCATCATGACTGTCCCAATGACTATATATTCTCATCCAAATTTAATTTTCTGTGTGTCTTTCTCTAACCAAGTTATTTAAAAATCTCTACCCTCCCTGCCACCAGCACTTCCGTGATTTGTTTTCCTCCTTAGTACTGATTAACTTGTAATATATAAAAATTTGAGCTCTAGGGGCCAGCAGTTGGTGTGGTAGTTAAGGCATTGGAATTCCCACATGGCTGACCACAGTTTGAGTCCTGAACCTGGCAGCTTGCTCTCTCTCTCTCTCTTCTTTCTCTTTCTCTGGCAAAAATCCATGTGAAAAAATAATAATAAATAAGCGAATAAAATAATTTAAAAAAATTGAGCTCCATAGAGTGAGGAATTTTGTTCTTTTTGTTTTCCACTCTTTTCTTAACTCCTAGAATACTGCCTGACAGAGTAAGCACTTAAGAAATCACTGGTGAGCACATGAATCTCAGAGGCAGTACAGCAAGAAACTGTACACTTTGAGAGAGAAAGAGAGAGAGAGAAATCACCCCACAGAGGAGATGGCCACTGCAATTATCCCTTCTCCTCTGTTCTCTTGGGATTTCAGGCATGCAAAAATTTATAGTAAGTCCAATTTTTCAAGTTCAAGCTGCTTGAAACCACAGTCAGCTATGCCCACCATGCCACCTGCTGACCCCTCTTTGGCTAGATTTTACTCATTCTTCTGATTTATTTAATGATAAGAGTCTGAGGCTTTATTGTGTATGCTTTTATTGTAAGTGATCTTTGTCTTTTAGAAGTTAGGTGACTAGATGAATATGTGTATACATGTGTTTGTACACACATGTGGATATACATAAAGGCTTCTCAGGAAGGCTGCACTAAAACTCCATTTACTATCTCAGCCATGGTTTCCAAAGTCCCTGTTCTAGTGAGGTTTCTGTGTTACATACCATGAAGTGAAGTACCACCAAGAAATCTCTTGGAATTACGTTTTTTCTAAGTAGTGACCTTCATTCTGGCCTGTGGTTTTGGTTTCAGAAACTTTGCTGCCACAATCCCTCGACCCTTCTCAGTTCGATATGACCCCTACACCCAAAGGATTGAAGTCTTGGATAACACCCAGCAACTCAAGATTTTGGCTGACTCCATCAACAGTAAGTAACTCACACCCTAAGAGACCACTTTCTTTCCCAGCAATGGAGAGCTGTGTTTTCTTACCCTCACCATACGAACAATAAGAAATTTGTAAAATATTGACTTAAAGAGAGAAGTTTCTGCACATAAGCCACAGGTTCACTGAGGAAGAAGGATATGGATAAAAAGCCAGGATTGTCTTGAGTGTTTTTTCGCCTTTGACCTTCCTAGATCCCACCTACCCCCTACCACTGTCCCATCTTTCCATACCTGGCCTAACGTATCCATACATCTCACTGGTCCCTAGGGTTTTGTACATTGTGGACATTCAAAGGGTGTTAATATATGAGTGACCTATTTGGATGGTGTTTCTCTTTGTAGGTGAAGTTGGAATCCTTTGCAATGCTCTCCAGAAAATAAAGTAACACCATGGACTTAACCTGGACTGTCAACAGAGTATCTTTTGATGGCCATTCAACTACTTCTATTTCATCTGAAAAAAGTCTGAGAAGCAAACTTTAATTTGAAATGACAGCCTTAACTCCTTTTTGGAACAAAATGGAAAATCAACAAATAAATCAAAATAAACTGAAATGACAGAGTAGTAATATATACCCTTAAAGCATAATGGTGGATCTTTTGGGATCATCTTTGATTCAGAGATGATAATCCCATCATCTCAACTCAGCTAAATCAATGATTTGTTACTGAGGAATTTCAACTTCCTGAATGTTAATTAGGATCTGAGGCCTGCTTCATTCCAGTTTCATATATGCTTTTGTTATTTGCCATAGAGGAATATATAAGGCTAAATGTAAACACAAGATGGTAATTACAATTGAATGATTGGACTTACTATAAATTTTAACCTATAAAATGTATTTCCTATTTGAGTTAACTATGATTTTCTTCTTTGTTAATTTACCCATATAGATTACCTTTAATCAGGGGCCCATTAACATATAATATTTATAAAAGTATTAAAGTTCTATGGCATAATATAAAACATTTGTGTATGTTTTATTATCACAATAAATACTGCTATGTAAGGTAATGAAACTCTCCTCTTGATTCCCACAACTTCCAATTTCATTTTCCAAGTAATTATCATATCTGTTTTGGAAAACATTTTGAAGATGCTCATGTTGCAACAGATGTTAACTAAAGACTTAGTTGTTAAATAGTAAGTATTTATTGAATGACTAAATGAATATATTATCAAATAGAAAATCTACTACAAAAGTGAAATTTTACTTGTGTTACAAAACATCAGTGGTTACAAAATTTTATAGTATTTTGGGGGATGAAATATTATTCTCATTGGTTTATAAAAACATTAGCTGGATAATCATGTGACATGAGAAAAGATCAGAGAGCCTCAGGCTTCCAATCCAATGCAGGAGTTTGTGGTCATCAAAGTCATGTCTGGATATTCAGCAGATTTTAACTCTTGTCATTTGTATATTTTACACAAACACATGGATAAGACGTGGGACAGCAGGAGGTGTGGTGGTTAAGGCCCTGGATCCCACATAGCTGACTGCGTGGTTTAAGTCCTGGATCCAGTGGCTTGACAATCATGCTGGGCACTTGTGTGTGCATGCCCCAAAGCCTGAGGAGACTAGAAGAGAAGGGACTGTGGCATGGCCATCTCTCCAAGGAGTGATCTCTCACTTTCTCTCTCTCTTTCTGTCTCTGTCTGGTGAGCGCACTATAGTCTGCCCTATAGTCCCCCCCCCAAAAAAAAAAAGAAAATAAGAAGGAAAGAAATAAATAAAATGAAATACCTGAGAACTTGAGACTTAAAGGATTTGCATAATGTGGTTCTCAGAGTAGCAGTGGTATCTTTGACAGTAAATCCTGGGCAGATCCCAGTTCCACACACTTAGAATCTCTGGGGATGGGGTCAAGAGATCTACATGTTCAAGTGTCTCAGGTCATTCTTTTTTTATTTGCAAATCTATTTGGTACATTAAGTTTGAAAAAACATGACTTCTGGTAGTCAGTCTGCTACTTGCCAAGACACAAATAGCCAAAAGGCATATGAAAAAATGCTCAACATCCCTCATTATAAGGGAGAGGCAGATCAAAACCACAATGAGATACCACCTAACCAAGTCAGAATGACTAAGATTAAAAAAACAAAAAATGATAAGTGCTGGCGGGGGTGTGGTGAAAGGGGAACTCTTCTACAATGCTGGTGGGACTGAAAATTGGTCCAGCCACAGAGGAGAACAATATGGAGATTCCTCAAAGATCTACAGATAAAACTACCATATGACCCAGCAGTGCCACTCCTGAGTATCTATCCAAAGGACAAAAGAAGTTTGTATCTATTTTCTAATGCTTTGTAGAATTCAGTGGTTTTAAAAGTGGAAACGGGTTTTTCTTCTAGTGTTCCTCTAGACACCAATCATTCTACCAAGTGACTGTTTTGATGAGTGTTTCTTTATTTCAAAATAAATGTTAATTATTGACTCTGGAACTTAAATATTATGTAGTTTTTAGGTTGAATATTGGATACTGACTTTAGTCTTTGAAGTTTTTAAAAATTATATAGTTTTTTTGTTAATTTGCCAGAGGGCATGTGTGATTGCCAGGAGGGACAGCGAGAGATAAAAAGATAAGTGAAGCAAGAAAACGATGCTTTCCCCATTTCTCCCTTCTTTCAAGATTTCAGGCATGAATGTGCATGCACCTGGTATGTTTCTCAACCTGCCAGGTCTGCGATTCTTTCCATGTAGTGGCCTTCTGGAATCCATCTGCCTTAACCATCAGGCCATGGGCTGGCCCCTAATGAACATATTTTACTGTGCTGGAAGTCAAAGTTTAATATTAAGTGTTATTTTAACATAAATTGCATATTGAGTGAAAGATAATCTAAATTTTTAATAGTGTACTATTAAATAATAAGTCTTTTAATCTGGATAATAAAAGCCTAGTTCACAACTATGGGACTGAATACATTTCCAGTATGTTTGTAGGGTTATTTGTTTAATTTTCAGTAAATGATCAGTCTTTTAGAAATACATTTTTGTTTTATCAACTACTGATCCTGTTGTGTACAAAACAATAATATATGTAAGAACATTGTGAGTGTGTAGCATTAGTGTTCAATGAGTTTCTGAAAGGAGAAATCTACATTTTAATTCAGTTTTCTTTTTTTTTTTAAGAATTATTTATTTAATTTTATTTATTCATTCATTTATCTTAATTTGACCAGAGAAAGACAGCCACACAGAGAAGGAAAGGGAGAAAGAAAGCCGCCAGGTCCAGGACTCAAACTGTGTTTGGCCATGTGGGAATGTCCAGTGTCTTAACCACCATGCTGCATGCTGGCCCCATAACTCTAGGTTTCCTAGTTACATAATTTAGTTGTGTTTCAAATAATCCAGTAATATAATGTCAATTTTATAAGAAGAGGAGTCTTGACTTTAGTTTAAAATCCTTAGTGTCTGGCAGATAGTAAGTGATCAACAATTTACTCATTATTTTTCTTTTTTTTTCTGTTTTTAATTTCGAGAGGGCATGTGCACTTGCTGGAGAGAGAGGAAGGGAAAGGGGGAGAGAGAGAGAAAGCACACCTAGCTAATAAGATTGTAACATAAATTCAATTATATATGGTGTGTATAAAAACCCTCAGTCACTCTCAGTAACAACCTTTTTAATGTTTACTGTTCTGATATAAAGCATAAAGGACCTCCCATAAGGATCAGTTATTGTTGGGGGCCAGAAGGTGGCATGGTGGTTAAGGGTGCTAGACTCCCACATGGCTGGTTTGAATCCTGGATCTGGTGGCTTGCTCTCTCACTCTCTCTCTCTCTTGTTCTGTCCTTCTTTGTTCAAATTTAAATAAATAAATAAGTAAAGATAAATAAAATAATTAAAAAAAAATAATTGGCTATTGTTACTATTCTGGTCATCATGAGACAACAACGTGAGGCCAAAATATTCCTCTCTCAGAAGAGATAGAGTTTGTGGAGATGCTCTATGTAAAAACTCTCTAGCTCCCTTTTGAGAAGAGTTTTGACTAAATCAGAATTTAAATCTTTCTACATAGTCAAATATGTATATATGTGTATAAATGTTTTAAGCAATAAATTAATGAAATCTGCATCAAATTGATCCTAGAACTATAACTTTAAAAAGGCAACTTTAGGGACCAGCAGTCAGCATAATAGCTATATCGCTGAACTCCCCACGTAGCCGACCACGGTTCGAGTCCCAGATGTGGTGGCTTAAATTCATGCCGGGCGTGTGTGCATGCATGCCCAAGATCCTGAGAGGAGAATGAAGGAGAAGGGATTGCGTTGTGGCCATCCCCCCTGTGGGGGTGATTTCTCACTTTCTGTCTCTCTCTGGCTTTCTGGCAAGCGCATGCTCCCTATAGCAAAAACCTCTAAAAAAAAAGAAAAAGAAAAAGAAAAAGAAAAAAAGGCAACTTTGGAGATAGAATGGAAAGACTTTAACTTTCCACCTTCATTCTACATATATTCCTCATTTTGCAGTTTCCTCTTCCTTCAGAAGCTGCAACATTACCAGCATAATTGTAAATCATAACGTCTATAAAGCCAGAATTTATGTCATTGCTAAAGACATTTCTTTCATTTGGAAATATACTGTGCAGGTCCTATAAATTGACTAACATAAACAAACTTGATTTAAGAATAGATCATTCCCCTGACAGGTTGTTTTACTGAGGAACAAGCATAAGAAAACATGGCTTCACTTTGCCGCTTAATTTTAAGGTCACCCCAGGGAGTGAGAACTGGGAGACTTTTTCTGTTTTCAGGGGTAGAGAGTAGACATGATCTTTTTAAAAGATTTTTGCCATATGGTGTGTGCACTCTCTAGAGAAAGACAGATAGTGAGAGGGAAAGTGAGAAATCACCCTCCAGAGGAGATGGACATGCCATAATCCCTTCTCTTACATTCGCCTCCTGGGATTTGGGGCATGAATGCACATGCACCCAAAGTGATTTTCAAGCCACCAGATCCAGGGCTCAAACGGTGGTCAGCCATGTGAGATTCCAGCGTCATATCCACTATACCACCTGTTGGCTCTATAATATATATATATATATATATATATTTTTAAATTACTTTTTATTCTTTCACTTAGCTTTCTTTATTTATTTACTTATTTTAATTTGACCAGAGAGGGACAGAACAAGAAAGAGAGAGAGAGAGAGAGAGAGAGAAATTGAGAAAACAAGTCGCCAGGTAAGGGACTTGAACCACAGTTGGCCACGTGGGAGTTCAGCACCCTATGCCAGCTTCATGGCCCCATAATTTAAAAAATAAAAGTATCTGGCACTGTGGTCAAGTTATTGCCCTCTCAGAGTGCTTTGTTCAAGTGCTGTCCTTTAATGAAACCAACTAGGAGGCCTAATGGAAATGATATTTCATGCAAAATAGAGGAAGACAAACCAGCCCCTCAAATATGCAAATGTAACAAGAAAGTGCCCTGTTCCTGGAGAGTATTGCTCCAGTGTGGGTTAGTAAAGGATTGTAGAATAAAAATCTCCAAAAATCTGCCGTTGGATGGGGTGAAGAGAAAACCTGCTAACATATCATGCTTTACAGCACTATCTATTGTGTTTTTCAGGTTTAATTCTACCAGTATTTATTTGAGCATTTATGTCATGCTTAGGATGGGGCCTGGTGCATTAACATTATTACTGCAAGGGCAACCATCTCTGTCGAGATACCACAGAGTTGATTTAGTAGAGCTGTGTTTCTGCCTATGCAACTTGCCACTCCTAGAACTTCTTTTCTTTCCCCCGGAAAGTTCTGACCCTAGAGGAAACACCTTATATACTTCAGTCCTGTATCAGAGTCAGCTAGAAGGATCCACAAATACAAAAGCATGCCACATTTCAAGATGTTCAAACCTTACCAGTTCAAGGATCCAGTTTCTTTTCTCCTTCCTTCCTTCCTTCCTTCCTTCCTTCCTTCCTTCCTTCCTTCTTCCTTCCTTCCTTCCTTCCTTCCTCCCTCCCTCCCTTCCTTCCTTCCTTCCTTCCTTCCTTCCTTCCTCCCTTCCTTCCTTCC